AATTCAACATACCTTCAAAGTGGCAATTTATCCAATCCAATCCTTGGGACCAAACCTGGTCTTAGAATATATGCCACCCTGCCCTGCATTAAACTCTTACTGACCACAATGTCATCAAAACTTAGCAACCACTGCTTAGGCTACAACTCCTTATCTTACCCACATCATGCCACGTGGATGCACATTAATCACGTTACCCGTACAGATTTCACAAGAGTAGTTAACTGGGTAGCCAATTCATTAACTAACACCATATCTACCCAAGTAGCAGATGACATGTACAATACAAGAGAAATAACTTCAAATTAATTTTCGGACTTGCAAAATCATTACCATCAATGCTTCCAGTTACAACAAAATCCGCCGTTGACACAGCAACATGCGTAACAACGTCACGGTGCATATAACTTTTCTCGTACCTGTTTATGCCACCAAAAATCAGAGAATACAAGAAAAAATTACATGAGAATTATTCTACCTAACTGCTAATGCTCTTGGCAGGGAGAACCAAAAGAAATCAACATAAGAATTTGAATTCAACTCATTCGGCCAAAACAATAGGGATCATAACACATGGGATCATAACACATGGGATTTGCCCAATTAACACGAGCTGAGTTTCCTAGGGTTTAAGGGTTTATGAAGCCAAACAACAAACTGACATTTTCGAGTCGAAACTACATTTTGAAACTCCAACTAAATTGGAATACATAATCACGGAAATTCCCAATTCAAACTAAGAATTGGACCAAAAAAAAACAATCAGGAGACCGAAAGGGAGGAAAATCAATACATACATTTGAGCGGAGGGAAGAGCATCGAGGTAGGCGTGCTCGAACTGGAGGGGCCGCTTGGGGCGAGTGCGAGGGGGTGGGGGTGGGCCGGGACCCACCATGGGCTCCTCCTCGGTCTCCGCCACGCCGTTCTGGGGTTCGGCTACGTCTGTTGCTAGGGTTTCTCCTCCGTTCTGAGGCTCCTCCATGGTTGCTCCTAGGGTTTTGCTGGAGACGAAACACTGCAATCGCACCGAAGCAGTAGGTTTGTAAGGCGAAGCTGGATTTTGTTGGAGTGAAAGGAAGGCACTGGAAATCTGGATTTTTTAATTTAAACAGGGACAATGAAACACCGCCGCCATTTTTCAGACGGGGTTCCGGACCGTTACAAGTTGGGCTAGTTTTGCTCAAGATTGGGCCGGACTAGTGTAATCTTTGGACCTAACGATGATTGGTTGTGGACCTTAAACCATCTCCAACCGATTGTTGGTCAGATGGCTCGTTTTAGCCCTCTGGCCCTCCAAGATTCTCCAAAATATTAATATTTTAATGAACAGTATAGGGTCATATTTGCCTCCGTCTCCAACCGAGGGCCAGAGGGCTCGTTTTAGCCCTTTTACAAAAAACTGTCTCCAACTGAGGGCCAAAGGAAATACAACTTAAATTCAAAACTAAAACTACAATTTAATTTAATGTTGTATAATGGCTTAGGAAGTTATAGAAAAAAAAAACAGAATTTAAAAAAAAATATGAAACAAATTTTGTGAAATAGAAGTTATAGGAAAAAAATGGAATTTAAAAAAAATATGAAATAAATTTTGTGAAATAGAAGTTATAGGAAAAAATAGAAGTTATATGAAAAATTTTGTAAATAAAAAATAATAATAAAACTGTAAAAAAAAATGCAACGACTACTAGCCGTTGCATTTGAATTTTTTCTTAAGAAATCATGTCGGTTATAACCGACAGAAATAACAAAACATTAAAAAAAAATAGCCAGCCCTCTCCGATTCCGTGGGGCCCTTCTAGATTCCAGAGCCCTCTGGCCTAGCCCTCGGTTAGAGATGGTTTTCGGGCTATTTTCGGCCATTTGGCCCCTTGGACCCTTCGATTAGAGATGGCCTTATGGTCCTAAGGCTGGCCTGTTTATGCTGCTACCAATAACTATTTCGTTCTTACTTCTATCTTTTACTAGAAATGGTATTAATACTTGAAGCTACTCTAAGGGGGTGTTTGAATGACGGATGTAGTGGGTTGAAGAGAATGACCCGGCAGTTTCTGACACGACATGAAAACGACACGAAAATAACAGGTTTCGGATCAACACGATAACTAATTTGGTCATTATCGGGTGACCCGTTAATAACAAGTTCTTAACAGGTATACACGCGGATAAGGCTTGGGTAACCTATTTCGACCCGTTAAGAAAAAAATTATTTTGATAATTTTAAAGTTTAATTACTAAAAGATTTATTATAAAATACAATAGCCATTTTAATAAATACAATATATTCTATATTAAATATATAGTTTTGTATTATTAATCTATATAAGTTAAGAAAAAAATAGTTCCTTATTATCATTACTAGGATAAATTTTACTTAACATGTTGTTGTTCAAAATTAAAATAAACTAGTATAGTATTTGTATAGGCAAGAACTAAGAAGACATACATATAGCTATGAAAAATGTGAAAAAATATATAAACACTCGTGATTCATCATTATTCCTCCACGAGTAGATAATGGTTACACTTATATTATCGTTTAGATTTTTAAAATCCTCCAAATCCTCATGAATAATGTTTTTTATTTGAGCGCAAAATTAATAAAATCAATAATAATTATTGTAGAAGTGTAAAAAATGTAAAAAAATTATATATATATATATATACACACACAATCACTCATAGTGACAAGTTTTACAACTTTCATGAAGGGGTCAGCTTCGAAATCCAACATTATAATCCATAAACCTTAAATTTATATTTAATCGTCGATTGTCATTTACGCTATTCTTCTTACTAAATTTCATTTTTTTTAATTTTCTTTTTTGAAAACATGATCATCTGGCGGATGTAAGAAGATGAACGGTTCAAACCTTTGATATCACGTTTCGATATTTATGGTTAACTGAAATATAAATCGATGTCATATAGTTTGTAGAACCTTGATAAATATCAAGCAATATTTTCACTAACCGTAAAACTTTGAACATAATATCAACGATGCAAACCATTAATCTTCCTCCATCCTCTAATAGATCATGTTTTCAAAAAAGAAAATCCGAAAAAATAAAATTTGATGAGAAAAATGAAGCGTAAATGTAAACAACAATCAACGTTTAAATTTTGATATATGATTTACATGATTATACTGGCAAATTTCGAAGTTAAGCTCTTCACGAAGTTGTAAAGCTTGTCATTATGAGCGTTTATATATTTTTTTTCTATATTTTTTACACTTCTACATTAATTAAAAAACTATTAAAGACTTTACTTAAATAACAGCCGTAAGATAAATTAGAGTAAATCTGTACCGCTGGATTCTATTTCACTTATATTATTAGAACTTTTTTGGACGAAAAAAACCCCTTCTCCCCTTTTCTATTCCATTATTTTCCAATTTTACCATTTGATCAAAACAAAAGCCCTAATCCATTTCTCTCTCCCCACTCCCATAAGGCTGTAACCCTCTCTGCCGATCCCACCGTCTATTTTTCCTAGCCCTTCTCTTCCGCCGTATGTTTAGTCATTCCGATAGCCTCTCTCAATCTCTCTTTTCTCCTCCCTCGTGCAGTGGACGGAATCATCCTTGTCATCTCTGATCGTCTCTACATCTCTTCATCTCTGCATCTCTATTCTCCATTCTCCATATTCCACTCCAGGTTCGATTTTGTCTCTACATCTCTACATCTCTGCATCTCCTTTCTCCATAATTGTTCCATATTCGTTCTTGATTAGATTGTTCAGTTATTCCGGTAGCCTCTCTCAGTCTCTCTTTTCTCCTCCCTCGTGCAGTGGACGGAATCATCCTTGTCATTTCTGATTGTCTCTACATCTCTACATCTCTGCATCTCCTTTCTCCATAATTGTTCCATATTCGTTCTTGATTAGATTGTTCAAGCCGATTAGAGATTGGCGCCTCAAAATGGGGGTGCCTCGAGGTTGGACACGTGAGCCTGCTTGCGATATTCCAATTCCCTTGAACCAGATGTTGAGCTTCCAATCGCTAATCATGAAGCTACTGCAAGTACACATATCGATGTTGCATCCTATAGTATTGCTCCTCTTCCATGTTCCTCCAACTAATTTGATTTTGGTTTAGCTGTTAAGAATGTAGGTAAGGAATACGAGATTGTGCATCAAGAAAGAATTACTACTGATGATCAGATCCCACGTATTATACAGACAACCCAAAAACTCGAATTCCTGAAACTCGACGTCGCCTCCCAAATTCATTGGATCGTTTTCACATTGCCACCGACCGCCCGTTACAAGCTTCTTTGAAGGGTTCTCTCTCATCTCTCTCTCTCTCTCTCTTGCTGTGGTCTCCTGCAGTTTCTTAGATTTTGATTTTTGTTGATTTTTTGGTTTGGAATTTGGGTTGCAAAGAGTGGTTTCGATTTGGAATTTGGGGTCGGCTAGAGAATCAATCAATTCATGGCTACTTTGCAACCAATGAGGGCTCGAGCGGATTACGATTATCTCATCAAGCTTCTCCTCATTGGCGACAGTGGTTAGTCATCATTTATCCTTCTTTGTTTGGTTCCTAAGAAAATTTTGGAATTGCGAATTGGAAGTTGGACATTTTGAGATCTAACGTGTTTTTCCTTTACTTTGGTATTTCTGGTGGCCAATGTGCTTTGCTTTTCATCCGAGTGAACAATTTTTTTTTTCAATAAAAAAAAGATAAAATCGTTATTTCTGAACATTTTTTTTGTGTTACAAAATAGTGGGTATAGTTAGGGGTGGTTCGGTATGGGATCCCATACCGAAACCCTTGTCCCGATTCCCATACCGAAATTTTCGGGAATCCCAATTTTCGGGAATCCCGAAATAGTTTCGGGATTTCGGGACAAATCGGGAATCCCAAAAATAATTTTGGGCTTTTGGGCTTTTGGACAAAAAAAAGCTAATATTGATCCAATTGGACAAAAACCTAATATTGGGCCTGCCCACTGAATGTAACAGCCCCCACATATGGGCTTAACTTTTATTCAACCAAATAAAAAAAATATTGGGCAAACCTGCAATGTTTATAAGAGCAGTTCAGCTGCATTTTCCACTTGTATGGTAGCCAAGGTTTTAAAATAAATAAAGTAACAAACCCAAAAGCAAAAAAATTAGTTACAATCTAAAGTTTTAATAATTAAGTTACAAACCAAAAGCAAAAAAATTAGTTACAATCCAAAGTTTTAATAATTAAGTTACAAACCAAAAGCAAAAAAACAAAGTTTCAAGTTTATGAAGATTGTTGACCTCTTCGGCCCCTTCGGCCCCTTCTTGTTGGCACTTGTAATCTTCCCCTTGATGTTGATGGTTGAGCCCTTCCCCTTACAATGGGTGGTCGTGGTCGTGGAGGTAGTGATTGATTTTGACGTTGTTGAACTTGTACTTGATGGTCGAGGAGGTGGAGGTGGCATTTCATTTTCTTGTGTTGTATTCTCCTCACCTCCCAAATTAGCCATGTCTAAAACAATAAACCACAAATCATTTACATTGAATTATAGTCTAATAGATAATAAATGGAGTTACCTCAGAGCAAATATTTCCAACAATGGAGATCGTCTCAACAGGGTAACTTCGTCAAAGTTTTTCACAGGCCTATAACAAATTCAAGGCATATACTGTCGGTTTTAGTATGAGTGGTTGTTAAAGCAGTATCAACAAAGCATGATACACAACGATCATATATTCATCAAAAACAAGATAAATAAAAGCATCCAAAAGGAGTACTAGTTTGTGTCAATCATGCAGCAAATCAACAATAACAGAATGCTCCCTTACAGAAAGAAAAAGAATTGACCAATTGTTTTTAATCAGATAAGCAAATTAAAGTGAATGTCATTTTTCAACAATAGTTGTCTGAAAATCTAAGTTCTTTGACAATACATAAAGACTTCAACGTAACCTAGAGGACAGGGGGACTGCTCCCAACAAGTTAAGAAATTGTTGAGCCAGATCAAAAGCTCAGTAGTCACAATACATTGATGCTAACAGATTTATAAATTCACCTTTATCTTGCTTCAAACATATGAGACACAATGTTTGTTTGAGTTCACATGCACAGTGCACCTGTGTTATTGTGTGTGCTATGTACAAATATTCATATTTGACAAGTCCTGCTAGCATCATTCTACATCAATTGACATCTGAAATTATCCATATGATGCATTGGTGCAATGAGAAGTGTAAATTTCTACAGGCACTCAAAGTAATAAAAAAAAAAAGATCTATATACCCGTACCTCACAGAAGGCTACAATCTTTCGAACACCTTGAATGACTTTCAAGTGTCCGTTAACACGAACATACATACCGTTTCTGTTGCAAAATAGGTCAGAACATAATATATTAATATGTATAAGCACTTCACAAGGTTTTGGTTACTCAACAATCCCAATATCTATATACGAAGATTCAATTCCAACGTAAAGCTCACAGATGATAATGAGAGAACTTACTGTATTTCCTGCATTTCTCGAGTCAAAATTCTCATTCACCCTGTTGAGATAATTAAACATAGAAGATTCAGAACTTATATCATTATGCGTCTATCCATATAATCGAAACACATGTCTAGCTTATTTTGCTAGATTATGCATTGCACTGAACATCAAAACGCAATAAACTCTTCAAACAATTAACATTGTGATAATATAAACGGAATCAAAACGGACAATGCAAAAAGTTACCATCTTCAGCACTTGATTCGCCCTGTCCCGTCATCCACAGTGAAACCAACATCAGTGTTCCTTTCGGCTTATCGAAAACCATCCCAACCACCGATACCTAACCAACCAAACATCATATTAACTGAAACGTTTCGGAAATCTCTTTTTTTCCATTTCAAGTGACTGTTACCCACGAGTTCAAAGTTCAACCAAGCAGTCTTAAATCCCAAACATTAATTCAAACAGAACAACATATACATCCAAACAGTCTTAAATTTACAAGTAAGGAAACACGGAAGTTACGAACTTTTTTACCTGAGGTGGAGGAAGAAGAAGAAGGAAGAGGATGCCTAAGGTGGACCGTGGGTTGTGGAAGGAAAGGACGAGGAAGAAGTGAAGTAGTGAACTCTGCAATTCGTCAAGTGTGGTGGTGGGCCGGTGGTTGGCCGGAATTCGTCACAGAGAGAGAGATGAGATGAGGGCTCGTCGGCTAGATGAGGGAGAGATCAGAGACGAGAGAAGAGATTAGGGTCGGCTAGAACGAAAGTGAAGTTTGTGAAATGGTTGTGAAATGGTTTCTGACCTAATAACATATGAACGGCAAAGATTAAATCTAAAACAATGAACGGTTGAAATAATTCTCTTATAATTAAAAGAAAAAAAATATATATATTTATTTTCGGTTCGGTATGGGAATACCGAAAATTTGAGATTCAAAACCGAATCCCGTACCGAAAATATCGGTTTGGTTCGGGATTACATACCGAAAATTTCGGGATTTTTGGTTTGGGATTTTTTTGGTTTGGGATCGGGATTTTTTCGGTTTGGTTTGGGATTTTTGGGATATTTTTCCAGCCCTAGGTATAGTGTAATATTTATTTCTGTCAAGTTTGAAATTTTGAATGCGTGCAGTTTTTTGTAAATTTAGTGCTTAGGGACCTGTATGTGAGTGTAATTAGATGGGTTTGTTTGAAAGATACAGTTTTGGGTTTGATGAAGATGAGTGAGTATAATCATATTTGTACTAATTTGTTTTATGTATCGAAAATGCGATGAGTAATATCCAACTCTTATGTGACTTAATATGCATCACAATATATGCTTGATAAAAAATAACTAGAGAGTGATCACAAGTATGAAAAATTACCCTATGCTCATTGGACAGTCTTGTAGGGGTTGAAGAGCATTCAACCTCTTTTTAATATCTTATGTCAATTATTGGATAAAGGTCAAATACGAGCTCTGGTGGGGATTGGTGTTTTGGCGTCAGTTGAGATTATTGCTTTGGAGGATACATTTTGAAATTGCTTTGAGATGGATAAGAAGTTTTAGGATTTTTTTTTTTGTTTGAATGGGGTATCTTGGATCTTGTGCATTAAAAGTGGTCTAATTGTGAGGATTGCTTTGAAGACAACATATCAAGCCAAAGTTCCAATATTGTTTCCTATGGTGATTAAGTAAAATTGAAGGGTTTGATTGGAAGAAAATGTGCAAGGTTCCAATGTTCTAATGTTCCAATGTCCTTAATTTTGCAAATCTTTTGAACATTTGATATTTTGTAATGTTCTAATGTTTTTTTAATTATGCTCTTATTTTGGATATGTAAATATATACTTAAAAGAAAAATGCGTTTTTATGTTTTGAATATGACAATATAGTATGTATATACTTATTTAATATTATGTTTTTCATTTGATTATTTATTGGTTTTAAATATATTTTCCTTAACGGGTAATGGGTCGGGTCATATTATCAGTTAATATTATCGGGGTCGATTTTGGGTTGAGTCATTTTATCCGTTTATTTTAATGAGTGTTACACGACACGACCCCGTTAAAATATCGGATATGACACGAAAACGATACGAACACGAAAAACACGACACGAATGCCAAGATGTCGTCTCCACCAAGTCATTCATCACTTGCATAACTATTTCGTTTTTAATATGATAAGGTTTCTCCTAATTACAATGGTTAAAATGAAGCTCCACAAAAATAACTTACTTTCATGGCTAAAAGAAAGCGTCGCAAGCGATGGTGAATAAAATAAAGCATCATACCCGATTTATTTCTAGCTAGTAAAAAGAAGAATTACTATTTCTATTAAGTAAATGCCAAGAGAATACTACATTTGTTGACATGTAATGTGGGAAATTTCTTCTATGCTACGTAGTAGTGTTACTAAAAATCAGCTTGGACAACGCTTAGGTGCTAGGTGGTGGGGTTCCGTGACGATTTTGGGCAAAAACAATCACTAAAATTGAGAAGGAACTAGGCGGTCTAAACGCTAGGTTCCAAATTTTTTTAATAAACTAATTAAGTTAAAGTGGGTAACGCGTAACCTACCCAAAACACAAAGGAACCCACAAGCTCTGGTGCCGCATCTTGCCTCGTTGCTTTATGTTTGTGCAAACCCAAAGCTTTCGCTCGCGCCGCATGTCATCTCGTCGATCCTATAAACCCAGACTTGATTAGTTGATCTTACAAACCCAAAAGCTCTGTGTAAACCCATACTTGATCAGTTGATCCTACAACCTCCATTGCTCTGCCTTTGTGCTGTCTATTCATCGCGTCTGTAATTTGAAAATACTCTGTGATTTAGACTCAACACACATCTCTCTGAACTTGTTCTTATCTGGAGCGAATCGTGATTGATGAGATGAGAGTCGAGACCTACTAACCACTGTCAAATTCCTTTATAAATAATGCAAGACTTTTGAATTGTTATTTGCTTACTAAATTACAATCATGAGGCTTTTGAAAGTGTGAATAGACACTTACTTATATGATACAATAATAAATTTACTTAAATCCGTTTAGATCCCAGCCTATCGCTCAACTAGTGCCTAGCATCTTTTAAAATCATGTTACTTAACATTAAATGCTACGAACATTGGATGCTCTTGACATTGATTTGGATTATTGCTTTTTTTTTGTTGTGATCCCATGGATCCAAGTCATCCAATGCTCATAGCATTTAATGCTACGTAACACCGAAATGGAACGCATATAAGTTATAACTTCAAGTAAATTTGAAGTAGGTAATGTGTTCATTAAGTAAAATCAATAATTTGACCATTTGTAATGTGATAACTTAAAAGAGAAAAGAATCTTAAAATGTGACATAGTTTGGGTTTGGTAACACGTTATTTTGACAGGTCAAGTTCATATTTGGATTTTTGAATTCGTTAACTTAACAAGTTAACATGACATGACACGTTAAGCTAACAAATTGACACAAACATGACAAAGACGACCCATTTGCTAGGTTTAAGGGGCAACTAATGAAACATTACATCAACAAAACGTGACTAAAAAACAAGGTTCTAAAAAACACTAGACGCTAGTCGGACGGCAGGTTGGCGCCTAGCGCCTAGGCGGAGTCTAGGTGGGTGCCTAGGCGGATTTAGGTAAATTTCTTGTATATCTTGTAAGTAAGTGCATATTGACACTTAAAAAAAAATTATACTTATATGAAATCCATGAATACAATAATAAATAAAAAATGATAAAATGCAAAACTAGTATCCAAAGTTCAAAATTTAAAAACACACATATATGCCATATTAGTTAAGGTATTTTTAATAATTATATCTAATTTTCATAAAAATAAAAATAAAAATCCCACGTGTGTGGTGTGAAGAGGTGCAGCATCCTCCCCAATTTCAAAAAGCACCACGTGTGTGGTGTGACCCTTGCCTTCCACCCTAGTCCCCATCCCTCACATCAGTCAAGAGACTCCTTTTTTAACACCTTGAAAACCGAAAATGTTTATTCATTTTTATTCTTTCCTTTTTCTCATCATCTTCGTCTTCTTTTCTTTCCACTTCTTCTTTCTTTTTCTTTCTGTTTTCCTTCTATACATTCTCCCTTTTTTTTCTTGTTTTCTCTTCTTCTGTTTTGCGCTGCAAGTTCCTCTTTTTTGATGGATTTCAAAGAGAGGGAGTC